GGAAGGGAAAGGAAAGGAAGGGAAAGGAAAGGAAAGGAAAGGAAAGGAAAGGACGTGTTGCCAAGTATGGTGACCTGCATACTGTCGCACTTACTATTAAATAAGAATACAGTATACAGAAGAAAGTACATTTTGCAATTTTGTGATATATATATATATATATATATATATATACACATGTATATGTTAATGATTATTAATTCATACAGTCTTACATACTGACATACTGCAGAAATTGTGTACTATTGAATGCATTCGTGGTGTCTCACCTCCTCTAGCGGGAGCTCTTTGAGACGGGCCAGAGAGCTGGAGAGCAGCCCGACTATGAAGGGGGTCGGTGTACAGACGATGTCCATCATGGACGGCGGCAGGACCGGGATGTACGTGTGCTGCCAGGTGAACGGGTACAGCAGAGCCACCATGGCATGACAACATTTAGAGAGGGTGCTAAAGAGAAAGAGTCAGAGCTAATCATGACTGTGCTGACACATTTACACCAGCAGATGGAAGCAAAGAAGAATCAATCAGTGCTGTTTGCTAAAGCTGGCATCAGTGTTTGCCATTGCTCATTCTTTGAATACCTTTAAATGCTGCAGAAATTAAACAATACAAGAAATAACAATAATATTTTTTATAAAAAGCTATTTTAGGACAATTATGATTTTTGCATTGTGACATTTCCCTGAGCACATTTTCTCTCCAAATTTTCATTACTGCACAAAAAAATTAATATTTTAATTAAAAAATAATAATAATGTTTATTTTTTTTCATTACTATGAAGAAAATATTTAATTGGAAACACAAAATTTAGGATATTAGCCAAAATAATTGCTAGATGAATTTGGAGTGAAATAAGACTCAAGTCACCCATTAAGATTAAAAAATGTGTTTAAAAAAAAAATGTAAATATAATATTTTTCCATTAGCAGATTGGAAGCAATAATAACAACAAGAACAATAAGAACAATCAACAATAATTATTATCAGTTTATCATTGTTATAACATTTTTTTTATTTTTATTCAAATAAATATAAAATAAATTCAAATAAAATTATTATTATTAAATTAAATTAAATTATTATTAAACATTGTTCAAAGTAATAACAATAATAATAACAATGAGAAAAACAATCATTATTATCAGTTTATCATTGTTATCAAAAAAATTCAAATAAAATAAAAAAAATAATCCAATGTTATTATTCAACATTGTTCAAAATATGTAATAACAATAATAATAACAATGAGAAAAACAATCATTATTATCAGTTTATCATTGTAATCAAAAATAAAATAAAAAAAATAAATTTTTAATGGCAGTGTGTAACATTTTCACTTGTTTTCACTGAATGCATTATTTTATTTATTATTTTTTAACAGCTATTTTTGCTCTGTAATCTTGATGTCTTCAGTCTGTGAAGAGCTGTTTCCATCCACTAAAACTCAATCTTTACTTATTAGGACACAGATTTATTTGAGGGACGACACATAATAGGATTCTTGTGTCAGTAATCTCTTCCTGTGTCCATCAACTGTGGGAGGAGATATATTTCGCCAGCTCATCTTGCTCAACACCATCTCAAACGCTCTTTTTAGGGAGGATGCTGCTTTGATGATCCCTAAGAAGAGACCCGGCTCTCGTTACAGGCCCAGAACGTCATGTGAGCACTAGTCTCTCAGTTTTTTCCATAGAAAAAAAAAAACACTGGGGTTGACTTTTGTTCCCAAGGCGACTATATAACACAACAGCATTTTTTCCATATCTGTCTTGAGCTGTGAAAAACGGTTCCACAAGCTGCACTTTTTCCCCTCTTGCCGTGTCATATCTTTTCATTCTTCCCTTGTCCTCTTTTGGGTTCACGCACAAACACACGTTTATTTATTTGACCATTTACACAAGTGGACATCCAGAACAAGCACCGCCTACTCGCCTGTCAATCAACCTCTGTATCAAAGCAAGGGTTCTAAACTCGGTTATATCGCTGGTCGAGATACTGAAAACATTACTGGAAGTGGCAGCAGGTGTAAAAGGGTCATACCTGAGTTTATCCGCGGTGAAGATGACCCTTCGCTCCAGCAGAAGAGAAGCAAACACCCGCAGAAGCAGACGCAAGCTCAGAGAGGAAAACAAACACTCGAAATCCACATGCTCCAGACGGGAATCTGAAGGCCGACATAATTCTATCACCTACAGAAGGAGAGAGAGAAACGCGACTAGCTTTGAGACTCATCTGTCATGTCGAAACGTTCAATGTAGAATTCCAGAAATTATTTTCAGCCACTTGCAAGGCCTTTTATATACTGACCTCTGTTCCTGAACCCGGCAGAAAGTTCTTAATGCTGATGGTTCTGCCCGGCGCTGGGAACGGAGCCTCCATTATTCCTCTCATAAAAGGCTGGACCAGCGCTGGGGACATGGCTCGTCGCTTCTCTACCTCATCCAGGATCTACATCAGACAGACATCAGCGTACACCTCATGGATGATCTGTCGTGATTTTGATGTCCTGAATCTAAAGGGGTTTGTTTAACCACTGTTTTATTCATTTTTGCCCCTTACACGTTATTCAAAATAAATAAATATAATAATAATACCAATGAGAATAACAACACTTATTGTCAGTTTATCACTGTACTAAAAATATTTTTTAATACATTTTTTGCCCATTTTTCAACATAGTTCAGAATAAATAAATACATAAATAATAATAACAATAATAAGAAGACATTTTCTTTTTATCATTGTAATAAAAAATAAATTAATTAAAATAAAACTAAAAAACTAAACACCAAATGAAAAAAAAGAGAATAAAATTAAATCATTTTAAAAAGCATGTATTATGTTGATTACCATTGAAAATATTTTTTTTTCATTTGATTAAAAAAAAAAATATTTAAATTTAAATAAATAAAATATTTTAAATATTATAAAATATTATAAAATATAAAATATATTTAATAAAATAAAATAAAGTAAAGTAAAGTAAAGTAAAGTAAAGTAAAGTAAAGTAAAGTAAAATAAAATAAAATAAAACAAAATAAAATCTTTAAGGTAAGAGGCCCAACAGGCATTAAAGTCTATGGCTTAATGTTGATTACCACTAAAAATAATTTAAATAAAATATAATAAAATAAAAAAAGCACTTCCGGAATCTACTTCCGGAATCAACATGTTAAACACACAAAGTCCTGACTAACCATCAGAGGGAATTGACAGGTTGATAAGAACGCCTTTAGTCTAACCCTCACCCCTTTCCCTATCCTTCATATCTAGGTTCTTGATAGGAATGTTGTTTCAGGACGAACAAGGATGTTCTGCTTGACAAAAATCAGTCAACATTCTTTGCAGCCAAATTTAGAATCTCACCTCAGATTATTGAGGATATTTGCATACTGACAAAAGCACCAACACAGAGACACACACAAGATAACAGATGCACACCGAGCCTGATGCAGAGTTCAAAGGTCAGATGAATTACCTTAGAGAACAGCTCAAAACAGCCCAGTCTGCTCACAATGCAGTAGACTTCAGGTAGACGCCTTCCTTTACCGCTGGGCTATAAATAAACAGAGCAAATAAAGTGTAATGATATTAATAAAAACAGTATTCTTCCACCAAACAATGTAGTTCCTCAGAAACAGTTGTGGTTGCTACAAAGTGGTTGCAGAGCAACACACAGAAGTAAACAAAGGTGTGTGTTTGTAGAGTAATTTACAACAGCTTCGAACGTGGCTCAGCCAATCAGAATCAAGCACCGGAACTCTCCGTTTTATAACACTTATTTCTAACTGTTGACTAGAAGTCACTCAAATGCAACAATATGTGACAAAAATGTAAAATGCTACAATTTGAAACATTGCTTTTTTAAACAAAATAGGCAGCATATACTGTGTAGTATTTGATAAGCAATTAGTTATTTCATTTCAAAGCCCATTAATATTTCATACATGTTTCGTAATAAATATCCAGCCTGTAGTAAATGTAAATCTCATTATTTTGAATAAATGTTTTCTGCAAAATGAGAAATAAAGAGCAGCTCACCAGTAAACGTCGACAGTAGCCAAATCTTCGGCTCCCATCTTCTCCGGTTAAGACAAACGAGAATGTTTCACTATAAAGAACACATTCAATTCAATTCCAATGAGCAAATGATTCCCAAACAGCACAAAAAGAGGTTGATTTGTGGGGCTGTAAATCATGTGGATACGATACCTGGGGAAATTGTCCACAGGTGCCCAGTCTTTAGCGTCAGGGAAACAGAACTGCGGAATGACTTTCAGCTGGTCTTCAGCCTCTCGCATAAACTTGAAGCTTCGTTCCAACTAACGAGGGAAAAGAATCAGGAACACAGATGCATGAACGTCTCGTGCTGATCTTTTAGGCCCAAATAGATCATATTTGTTCTGTAGTACATGCTGTTGGAAGAAAAATGTTTGTACCTTAAGAGGGAACTGCTGAGTGACTTCTGGTAAATACGGGACACCTGCTTTGGTCTTATGAAGAGCCACAACCAGGAAGTACTCAAACAACTTCCTCTCCTGAAGTTCCATCAAGTCTCGCTCCAGAGTGCGATATCGACCGGTTTGCCTCAACATAGACTGGACCGACACTAATCTCTGACTGTGAGCTAAAACAGATGATGATGAGGAGGAAGGATAAACAGAAAAGCATGACGTCTTTCCCCATAGAATTCATTGTAACTATATTAAAAGAACAGTTCACACAAAAATTAAAATTTGCTGAAAAGGTCATCCGAGATGTAGATGAGTTTGTTTCTTCATCAGATTTGGAGAAATGTAGCATTGCATCACTTGCTCACCAATGGATGTGAATGGGTGCCGTCAGAATGAGAGTCCAAACAGCTGATAAAAACATCACAAGTAATCCACACCACTCCAGTCCATCAGTTAATGTCTTGTGAAGCCAAAAGCTGCGTGTTTGTAAGAAGCAAATCCATCAAGGCGTTTTTAACTTCAAACCATCACTTTCGATTAAAATACGTCCTTGATCAATAATACTGCTTTCTTCAGTGAAAAAGTCGTCTCATCTGAATCAGGAGAGAAATATGCTCAGATCAAACACTGTTTACAAGCCAAAACAGTTCTAAACAAATATGTAGGTTGGACAACAGGAGAACGTGTTATTGTTATTATGAATTATGGACTCATATTTTGGCCAGAAGAAACCATTTGAAGATAAAATGTCTTAATGATGGATTTGCTTCTTACAAACACGCAGCTTTTGGCTTCACAAGACATTAACTGATGGACTGGAGTGGTGTGGATTACTTGTGGATTATTGTGATGTTTTTATCAGCTGTTTGGACTCTCATTCTGACGGCACCCATTCACATCCATTGGTGAGCAAGTGATGCAATGCTACATTTCTACAAATCTGATGAAGAAACAAACTCATCTACATCTTGGATGGCCTGAGGGTGAGTACATATTCATTTTTGGTTGAACTATTCCTTTAAAGTCTGTGTAAAGGCAGTTCAGAGAATTGTTTCTAAACACGTAAAACACATTGCTTTACACGGACTTTAATGTAAACTTGAAATTCAGTGGTATCTGACATTAAGCCGTAGACGTTAAGGCCTGAAGGACATCTTACCCTTTAGTTTCTCCTCTGTGTCACTTTCAGACTCGCTGTTTTCGTCCGTCACTATACCGGAGAAGAGAGAGAGAGGTCAAAGGTCACTAGAGAATCAGTATGCAGGTATTCACAGAGACATATTTCATGCTTGGATGCACATGTGTATCCTATAACGTAACATAATTCTATCATCCCTGGAAAAATGGGTCAAGCGCAACTGACCCAAAACTGTAAACGTGTCCATAAAGCTAAGTGGATGCACATGTGGCTCGGGCCCGGACTGTCCCACAATGCAATGCACGTGGATTAGGCTGTAACTCTCTAGGTGCAACAAATACGGTCATCACACTATTATCCAAGAGACATGCAATGCATAAAGACTATAATTCTTACAATTCAATATAAAACATGTATTGAAAATAAAGAAATAAATAACTAAATAAATAATTACATAAAATATCAGTATATCTGGGTTGCGCAATGAAAAGGATCACAAATTAATTAACAGAATATAATATATATAGATAAATAAAAAAAAAATAAAAAAAAATAAAATATATATATATATAGTTATACACATATATATAAGTCAATTAAATGAAAAAGAAAATGACAAGGGTGAGCAAACTGAATGCACTATTCCTTTAAACAGGAAAAAGTAGGTCTAAATTTAGCTAACATATAATGTTGCCCTCACAAACCTCTTCCTGAACTGGACTCGGTTGACTGTGAGACCCTTTTCATCCTCTTCTTTCCCCTTCGGGCCTCAAAGATGCCGTTGATTTTCTGCACCATCTGTTGAAAAAGAAAACAGTCATGGCTGTTGCTTTATCAGAGACAGCCCTTCCAAGCCTTTCGCAAAGGAGTTCTGAAGGAAATTACTTTTTCCTCCATTTTTCAGATTATTCTTAGGTGTCTCATCCGCCTGTCACATTTTTCTTGTATTTTTATTAGCAGTGGAAGGATGTCGAAGGGCCAGCATCTCAGTCAGCGGCGGACCAGAACCATAAATCACTGATAAGTTAAGGATTACACTGACTGGGCCCCTTTTTGGACGGTACCTTTGGAATTTTCAAAAAAAGAGTATAAACCAATTTTCTGGGTTGCGCAATGGAATGAAACAAATTAACAAACAGAATAAAAAGTAAAAAATAAATACATATTCACAAATTATATATATATATATATATATATATATATATATATATGCATGTAATAAATTAAATGAAAAAGAAAATGACAAGGATGAGCAAACTGGATGCACTATTCCTTTAAACAGGAAAAAGTAGGTCTAAATTTAGCTAACATATAATGTTGCCCTCACAAACCTCTTCCTGAACTGGACTCGGTTGACTGTGAGACCCTTTTCATCCTCTTCTTTCCCCTTCGGGCCTCAAAGATGCCGTTGATTTTCTGCACCATCTGTTGAAAAAGAAAACAGTCATGGCTGTTGCTTTATCAGAGACAGCCCTTCCAAGCCTTTCGCAAAGGAGTTCTGAAGGAAATTACTTTTTCCTCCATTTTTCAGATTATTCTTAGGTGTCTCATCCGCCTGTCACATTTTTCTTGTATTTTTATTAGCAGTGGAAGGATGCCGAAGGGCCAGTGTCTCAGTCAGCGGCAGACCAGAACCATAAGTCACTGATAAATCAAGGATTACACTGACTGGGCCTCTATTTTGACAGTACCTTTGGGATTTTCCTCCGCCGTCGGTTGTAAGGGTCCCCCGACAGACACGGGGTGTCATCCGGGCTGCTGGGTGTTGATGGAGGGCTGACCCGTGACGGGGACGCGATGCCGCCATCTCTGCCGGTCTTGCGCAGTTCCAATAGCTTGAAACTACGTCGCTCTGAATTCTGCCTGAAGAAGCCAGGCTTGGAGGGGAGCTGTCAATGAAAACAAATAATTCAGAGTCAATTGCTTACGTTGTCATCATGTCATTCCAAACTTGTATGACTTTCAATCTTCCATGGGACACAAAAGTAGATGTTTTGCAGAATGTACTAGCTGCTCTTTTCAATATAATAAAAGAGGCTGAAAAGTAGCCCATATATAGATTTGTTTTTTTCATGTATAAAGGCCCGTTCACACCAAGAACGATATACAATTATAATTATAACTATATTAGCATCTACATCAACACACGATACCGTTCTGTTTATTCTAAGTGTGCGTTACAGTTTTGTCATCTGCCGCTTTAAATGCTCAAGCTCTTTAAAGCAGGATGGATTCTGATTGGCTTGTCAATGTTTTTATCATCCATCAGCTGGGAAAAAAATCTTTCTGAAACTGATTCCAATTATATCGTTCCTCTGTGTCATTGTCGTTATAGTTGTGGACTTCAGACTTCGCTATCCTCCTAAAATTAGAATGATTATTAAAACTTTATAGCTATCATTGTAGTTATCGTCCTTGGTGTCAACGGGCCTCAAGTATGTGAAATATTGAATTTTGGGGGGGAAAAAGCTCTAAATGTCAGTAGTCTATGCCGATACATATGGAGAACTCATGGAAACAATTAATCAGGAATGCAGTATGAATACCTTGGATGGGGTGTCAGGAATGGGAGAGGAAGGGGAAGAAAGAACGGGATACTTGCTCCCAAGACAGCGACTTTCCAACTCTATGTCTTCATATGGGTTCTCCTTCGATGGAGGGTCTTTGGGAGGGAAAATATATGCAAGATTATTAGTGGTGCTTGCTTAGCCACTTTTCAAAATCCTAATGCTAAACATTGATTAGCATTGCAGCATTTTATTTCAATCAAGCCTTAATTAATTTGTCTTGTTAAGGAGAGATGATTTACAACTGGCGGACGATAAAACAAGTAAAAAAAAATTCAGATTTACATTAAAAAATGGGTCTCAAACCATATTGAGTGATGAAAAACCAAATTAAGATGTTCAGACTGTCAGTCCAAATCCGATTTTTATTCATATCTGATTGGAATCCGATCTAAATGATTGACTGCAACTGCTCAATTCAGATTTGAGTGTCTATGGCGCTCTTTCATTTTACTCAATATCTACATTGGTTTCTATGCCAATGACGTTATGCTGGTATGTCTTCGCTAAAAACAACAATAAGAGCAATACAGTTTGCAATACAGATGTTCTCTTACAACATGCTGTAGTCGCGATGGATTATAATTAGGGATGCACGATATTGGATTTTTGCCGATATCCGATATGTCGATATTTTTCAACTCATTTTGGCCGATAGCCAATACCGATACTGATATATTTCCTTTTGTTTGCAAACAACACCAAGTCTCTTCTGTACAGAGATTATAAATAAATAATTTTTCATTTTGATTAGTTTTTAACAAAAACTTACTTTTGAGAATTAAATAAACAATGAAGTTCTTTTATAATGAGAGTACATTGAAAGCTTTGAAAATTACTATAAAGCGATCCTTAACATTTTATTTCAATATTTAACATTTGTAGATGGTCTAAAGCAAAAGAGTTGTACAAATTCTGAAAATCTCCTTGCATTTAAATTTTCATAATCCGTTTGAAAAAAAAACATATTACACATTAATGAATAAATCTGTATATATATATATATATTATTTAATTTACAAGTGTCTTGTTTGTGATTTTTATTCATGTAAGCTATATCTTCTGACCTTTAAATCAAACCATATTTGTGATTTTATGACATCAATTACTGCTTTATTTAATCAGAAAAACAATCTTAATGTTATTTGTGTATTTTACTTTAATTTTATTACAAGTAGTTCAACAGCGCCCTCTAAGTAAATAAAATGCCTTACTGAACGGGCATTAGGATCCAGGGGAGGCTGTTGCTGCCGCTGCTGCAGTTGCTAGTAAGTGTTGACTCTATGGCACAACGGATGCGTCATTCTGTACTCGCATTCTCAGATGAAATGCTCAAAACAGTGAATCTAATCATCATTCAGGAAAAAGTTAGCTTCAAGAATGACCACACTGCTGACGTGATCTTATCGCTATCACACCCTGAGCACATGCGAGTTACTCATCTTATCGGCAAGGCATATCGGCATAATTTTTCATATCGGGCCGATATTTGCATTTTAAGCCATTATCGGCCGATATCGATAACGTTCCGATAATATCATGCATCCCTAATTATAATAAGGGATACAATATTACGTCTTATGAGGCATTGGCAGAAAGGTTCAGGAAGCTGCATGTGTGGCTGCCAGTCTCAAAACTCTTAAGAGGTGGGTAGACTAGCAGTATATTGTCATTTTCCGATGACTTGCGATTTGCAACAACACAACTTTGTTTCTGCAAGGACGTTCAGCATGTTTTCTACAAACAATTTCTGTGGTGTTTACTTTTTACGTGGCGTGAGAATGTGAAAAAGCTATGCAAAATCCGATCTGAGCGGTCAGACTGAAATGCATTTCCAGAAATTCGATTTGAAAAGGATTTCTAACTTTCTGAAATCTAAGGATTTCTGAATGTAGCTCGAAACGGATTCGCAAAAAAGGATTTCATTAAGAACCCACCTAGCAACTACTCAGAACACCCTAGCAACAGCATAGCAATGCCCTGGCAACCACTCACAACAACCTAGCATCATAGCAGTGACCTTAGCAAAGAAAAACACCTCTCATATTTCAAAACATAAAAAGTAAATTTACAAATTTGCTGTTTCCTACCAAATAAAACAGTTTAGATTTCTATTTAAAAAAACTAAATTTATTTCTTCCATAATAACAAGTCATAAATCATGTTTGCTGACAGTCAGTGGTGCTAGCTAACGTGGGCATATTTTTGTTAATTCCCCATTGTCAACACTGACTGATTTAGTCCTGCTTTTCTGCAAAGAAATTTCGAACTGACGTCATGTGTTTGGTTGCTTTTGTATTCCTTTCCAGATGTTTGAAAGATTGCCAGGGAACCCATGCAAACCTCATAAGCTGCATGTGGCATCACCAGTGGTGTTAACAAGAAGACAAACTCCTAGCAAAATCTATCTTGGTTTGTGCGAAGAACGAATGAGCCAGAGAGAAAGAGAGGGGGACAAGAAAAATGTTTGAGCGGAAGACGGGTGTTTTTTACAGATGCAGAAAGCCTCTGTCGATTCATCCACCAGATGCGTCTGGTGGGAAGACAGTTTATGATGTTGGGACATCCAGTTCTAGAACACAAGAGAACGTACGCTACGCTCCACGTTCAAAGCCATTAAAATGATTGCTACTGGCCAGAGCAGATAGAGAAACGCAAGATCAATGGTAAATCTTCCATTATTGGAAAGTGCTATTATATAATTAGACACAACCTTAACCATTAGAAGGAAGAAGGATGATTGCGTAGACAAATTTAACTTGGTCTTGCTAGTAAGGCTACAGATTTATATAATCACAGATGATCAAAGTTCAATAAGAAAGCTATACTTTCCAGATTTGTGGTTCTCCGTCTTTTTGGGTTATGGCTGCAAGTCTGATAGGGTTGCAGAGAGCAGGGAAATAGCTATGCTAATTAAGATGCTAATAAAACGCTACTAAACTAACCAAACATAGTTAGGACAACAAAATAAACTGGCTTTGGAAAGTCAAGAAAGTCCACTCAAACTCTATTTTTCCTAGACACAGATAAGACATCATGCTCTGCAGAAGACTGATGAGGGGTAACCCAAACATAGTGGACCACTGGTGAGGTTGAGCAAAGCAACACCAATGTTTGTGATGGCGTTGTCTCAATTTTGTCCTTATTAAAGTTTCAAGCTCCTAGGCTTCTGGGTAATTGCTCTGTCAGGTGCATAGTCAAAGAGTCAGCCAGGTTTTACCTGGCACCATTGTGCTGCAATGCATTGTGTTACCTAGGATATCCTCGTAGACATTCTCCTCTGATAAAGTGCGAGTGAGGCCTAGCTTAGACAGCTCATAGAGATCAGCTCGACAACCTTCTGCTGAAGACTGTAGAAGATCTTCAAACTCGTAGGACTTCCTGCAGAATCAACAAATACAAATAAAACTTCATTAAGAGAATGAGAAAGACCAAGAAGGAACCAATTAAGTCCACAGGAAATTGAAGAACTGAAGGTCCACTGGAACAACAAGACTTACATGATTGGATTTTGGCATAATCTTAGATTAAAAACAGACCCCCTCCACATAGAGAGGCCACAAGATTAAGATTGCATCACAATACCGAAAGTTAAAAACGTTTTTTCAAAGATGGGCTAGACTGATAAATACTACCATTAAAACAGCATCCCCATAAAGACTGAGGACAGTAATCCTTTAGGGGAGTCTTGGTTTCAAAAGATTTATTAGTGTGACATAAAAATCAAATGGCAGGCTACTAAATTTGTGGGGTTCTTTCAGTCCACAAGCCGTTTCTCCAGCGAGCATGTTTACGTATGGAATAGTTGTACCACAGACAGCAATATGAGATGAGGAATTACAGGTTTTTAAATCCTGACAAATTCACTGTATGGATCTATTAAGCTTCCAAAGTAATACATCAAAAACTATGGAAGGTGGATTGAAGAAAGACACTACTGATGATTCACTGAAAATAAAAATAAAAATTAGCTTAAAATAGTCTTAAAATTAGCCCTCACATTAGGCTGAGATAGTATAACCCTTACCAAAAAGTAGTATACTTCAAGTTTATTTTATTAAGTATACTTAAGTAAAGTTCAAGTATATTTTAAGTATACTTTATGTAGTAAGTATACAAATATCAGTGTACTAGTAGTATACTTCTAAGTGTACTATTTCAATACTCCTTGGGACTAAATTGGCCCACTTTCTTATATATAAAAGTATACTTTTAAGTATACTTTAAGTATAACAGTAGTAAACTTTAAGTACACAACTAGTTTACAACAATATTTTTAGCTTGTACTGCAACTATACTAAAAGTGAACTTATATGAATACTGATAGTTTTCTAATTAAATACTTGTAGTAGCATTTTTAGTACACTTTGAAGTATAGTCTTAGTAAACTACTAGTTTAGTAGTTTTATACTGCAAGTATACTCGTAAGTTTTCTTTAAGTGAACTTTACATCATACTTTAAGTATACTACTATGTCCCTATTTAGATATTAATTTGTATATATTTTGTTATATAAATATCTGAACATACAAAACACCAAAAGAAAGAACAGGGTATCTGCTTGTAAACAAAAACATTTTATTCTAGCTTCATGCATTCTTTTTTTAAACACTTGAATGTGGGTAAGTTTCATAAATAATAATAAAAAAATAAAATAAAAATAAACAACATTTTGAACAAAAAGCTGAAAAAATAATATGAATTGGATTCAGAACGATAATCAAAATGTAGATAGAGTCGATCAACACCCCAAAGCTTGACAGTCATTATTACCTCTTCATTGGTCGACATAACATCAACTTTACACAGTTTTGATGCTGTTTTATGTCTGATGATCGTGTTAGATTACATGTGGAAGCATCTGTTGTTTCGGTTTCTTCTTCACTTGTGTTTTTTGGAAATTCTGTACAAAAAATGTGTACTAGCGCCCCCTACAGTATAACAATGAAAACACAGATTCTAGGAACACAAGTATAGCTCAAATATATTTAGACTTTTTCTAAGTAGGCTATAAGCCAAGTATACTTAAATGTCATTTTAAGTATATTTCTGAGAAGTACATAAAGCCCATTTCTGAGAAGTACATAAAAAGTAGACTAAAAGTATACTTTCCTATTCTTTAGTTCAAAAGAAGTATACTAATAGCACACTTGAATAAACTTCTTTTTCGTAAGGGAAGGAGTAGACAAGCTACTTGAAAATTGGCAAAGGCATTGCCTGGTCTCTACGCACATGATTGATTTAGCTTGACTTGAGATGACTTGACATGATACCATTTTGGTCGAACTATATTGGTGACTTGGCCAACACTTTTGGAGTATTCAGTGCTTCCATTTCAAATAGATAGGAGTTGTACCAGTTGTGCAAAACTGAATGTAGGTGCCTAGAGACGACACAAAGATGGCCACCAAGTAGACTGGCTTGCTTACTAAAAGGACTTTGTTATTGGTTAGATACCCAAGTGAGGTACAAATGCACCAGATGCAATCCAGTCCTTCAGCTCATTCTTAAAGTGACACTGGCATCAAATATCAGTCTTCTTACCTGTTATTAGTGTCTCGAGCTCGTCCGGAAGGTCTTCTACAGGCCCCTTGTGGTGGAGGACAGGATGGAAGGGGTGGGGGAGGTATGGAAGGTAAAGGGGGAAGATTTCGTTTACCCTTGACGAAACCGTGATTGGCCGCAGGGTTGTTTGTCTGCGTGTGGTGTTGAAATGTTCTTTGGGGTTTTGGCAAAGGGTTAATGGAAGGAGCTCCAGGTTCACTGTAGACGTTCTCGGAGTCCTGACTTCGAATACGGCTGCCGGATCTCACAACATCCACAGTCCCAAAGATTGGCTCTGCTGCCCTCTTCTCTGCTTCTTCCTGCTCCTCTTTGGAAGCTGGGCAGAAGTAATTGCCTGGCATAGACAAGGATGATTTGGAAGGAGTCTCCTTCATCGCTTGCTCAAGTTTTTTAATGTGCGTCAACACCAACTTTTTGTCCTGACCAGTTTCTGTTGTTCTCCCCAATGGGCCTTTGTCCAAAATCCATTCCTTTTCCTTCACAAGTCCCTCAGAAATGTGCAAAGGTTCTCCAAACTTACTACCGTTCTCTTTGCCACAGTTCTGTCTCTCCCAGTTGGAAAGTCGCTTACTGTCTTTCCTTTGCACTTCCGGCTGTAACTTCTTCTTTCCACTTTCAGTCTCCTTCAGTCCCGCTGTTTGGGTGTTTGACCCGGTGGTCTCTGTTTTACCTTCCCATTGGGATATCTTGTCCCGAATGCTGGCAGTGCTTTTAAGTCCTAAGGGAGTCTTGGGAGACTTGCTGCAACCTCCCAGACCATTTTCAATGGGCCGAGGATTGGAGGGACTCTTGTGGGCGAGCATGATGGTGTCTCCTGGGCTTCGGTTGAGGTTGCTCAGAGACGAGAGACTGTCCCTGACCCCACACAGGTCTGACCGCTGAAGCACCACAGATTGGGCCTGGTCAAGCTTCAATCCGCAGCAGTGGAGCCTGAAGAGACCACAGGAAAGATGCTAAAGACATCAAGAGTGTCTGACACTCATTAAGTGATTAGATAGCAATTATAGAGTCTGTGCATTTAAAGTTCACATTTCAAAGCATCGTTCATTCAAAATGACATTTTCAGAATTACCAATTACCAACTAATCTCACACAACCACCAAATTACAGTCAGTATTCAGCATGAACCAAAAGTGTTCAAAGTTTCCACATTGGTATTAATTGCGTTGTCTAGACTTTTAATGGTACAATTAATTAAAATGACTTTTTAAATATAACATTCAAATGAGATGCAAATGGACTTGCAGGCAGTTTGTTTCTTTCCTCTGTGGACAGAAAACCCAAGCCTTTCACTGCACAAGTGAATCACCATCAGCAAATCGAATTGAAGGTTATGATTTTGCCTCAAGTCCACCTGAAAACAAAACTCCTCTGTGAATGTTTGACCAAACGAGTTTCCACCAATAGGGCAAAGTTCAAGTGACAGTCGTGCATTTTTCTTTCATTAACTGGCTCATAAACACATCTTTGGATTCCATCCAATGACACTGCGCCAACAAACAAACAGAGGAAATGTGAATCTACAAACTTTGTGTGTATGCTAAGCTTCACAGAGTTTCAGAGGAGAATATCTTCCCCAGTATGCCTCCAAACAGTGATTCCACTTTTCAAATACAAACTATTGGCTCTCAGAAAATTCAAATAAGCTTTCAACAACTTTCTTTTGGCATGTTCTTTTTTTTCATTCTTTCTGGCTAATGTATCTCATTTCATGAAGCTCAAGGCTGCCAAGAGAAAAAAGTAGGTCAAGCTCCAAAAATCCGAAGAAAAGAAGCGAGAGAAATAGGGAACGAGGGAGAGACAGGGGGTGAGAGGAGTTAGGAAAGAGGAAAATAACGAGTGTGTAGGACAAAATATGTGATTGATCTTTCTCGTTGCCTTTAGGAATAGGCCTGCTCAAACTCTTGGATAGTACATCATCCATCATCAGCAAGGATAAAAGCCAAAGTCTCCTCATCAAGATGAGCTAACAGGGTTAAGGACATCGTAAGCCGAAGAAATAGCATTTGATGATAGCAGAGCTCTCTCTGCTTTGACCATGTTTGCTCAGGATCTGGCTGAAGATACTCACTTTACCGACAAGACTTCATTAAAATGAGCTCACTCATTTCGCCCATTTTTCTGCAGGTTTTAAAGCTTGTACTAACACAATGTGGCATTCCAACCCACCAAGGGTTGGCAGTGCCAGGAGTTTAATTAGCTTTCAGTAAAAATAACTTTCACAGTTAGGCTTGTCCCAAAATCATCCTTAATATCCCACCTGCGGATGTTTATGAAGTCTATCAGTGTTAACGTTACTGGACAGGTTTAGTTTTAATACCATAGTGAATGAGGGATGTGGCACAGTCTGTTTGCCGGGAAACTTCTTAAGCATGGACTAAAAGTTCTTATGAACTTACAAAAACATCTAGGCTATTAATTTAGCAGACGTTTTCATCCAAAGCAACTTATAAATAGAAACACTTCAACATAAGCAAGTCATCCTATGATGAGTACTGAAACTGAAACACTGAAACAGTGTTGTTTACTGAAACAGTAAAGAAATTGCTGGAATACCACCTATATTAGACCTACATTAGGTAATAACATCTATAGTAGGACACAGACCTTGTCAGTTGTTGAAACACTAGGGCTGCAGAAATTACATGCGTAAAACAACAAATTAGCGGGAAATTAAAGGAGACTCAGTCACTTAGTTGTACATACCCGTTTGCTGATTGGTAGATGCAGTCCTCTGTGTTTGTACAGAGCAGCAGTGCTCTCCCGCCAGTCATGGTGCTAGCAGACGGCATCCTACACACACAAACATAAATTTAGACATAAATATACATTTTTTTAACAATTATCATAGTAAAACCATGGTTTAATGGACATATGCAATTGTACTATCAAGGTATTCTTTAAAATGATCATGCACATATCATGCTATATGAATACGGCATTCATTAAACACCATAGTAAACATCGAAGCAGCATGGTTTTAGCATCTGATACGACAATATTTTTCACATTCCATGTGGTTAAGAAATACTGGACATTTACAACAGTCATCTGTTAATCAAACAGCAAAATCCTCATGACACAGGAGTGGACTCAGCCCTGGAGGCTGAATGACTCACAACCCAAACACAAAATACTATAGTCGGAGAGTTACTGTAGTTACATAAAGATACACATCTGAAGCAAACAATCCCTATTTTGCTTCATTTAGGTAATCATCATTATTACTGTTGCTTATAGTAAGGGTTAGTGATCTGAACAAATGGTTAAGACGGAATACTAAGCTTCAGTGTAACAGTGTCCTGCCCTGTTACCCCTTAAAATCATGTGTGTAATACTACAGGTTCAAAATATTCAAAAGAAGGAGACCAAACAGACAAGAAAAATGGGAAAAAAACAAGGATTCTTGACTTGATGTGACCTGCGACCTCTTAATTCTCTCTGCTCTGTGTTTTAAAAGGAGCCAGTAATTATCAACCACCCAGTAAAGAACTTGCTAAGCAGTCAGGTCTGTTTTCAAGCAATCTGGACCCTCGCCACAGGTGTTACCACTTAACCAGCACATTTGGAGAGGATTGTCGAGCGTGTACGTGTGCGTCTGTTCTTTTTGTTCTGCCAAACGGAAGTATGACAATGTCCACGGGACACAAGCGGGGGTGCAACATAAACGAACCCCATCTGTTTCCATGTTCGGCGAGCGCCATTCCACATGTGCAAGAGCTCAACGATTAACCCACATTCCCAGCATTCTGCCACCACTGGAGCCGGCCGTAAAAACCTTCCTCTCCAGTTCAGATGACGTAAAGGTTACCAAATTGTGCTATTTCGAGACTTCCACATTGCCTTGCGTCGGCGATTAGGCCTCTGGTGTGTCATTGGGCTCCAGTGGTACTCAGTGTGTAGATCTATCTGTGGGCGAGTATTCCTTGGCATCATCACCTGTTTTTCTGAGTGTCGGCCAAGAGCAATAATGAGAGCGTTGTTGTGCTGTGGAGTTTCACACTTTGGTGTGGTGAGCCCTCTTATTTTGATTAGCATTTAATATAACCATCTAAAACTGCTGTCATTAAACTGCAGAAGACCTGACTGCCAGAGGAGATTAAAGTATAATAAAATAAATATATATAAAAATGACATAAAACAAAATCATTAACGTTCAATTGGATTTAATATTAATATTAATGGTAATCTGATAGATATCCTACATTAAGGGTCTTATCGTTTATCTATAAAACAAAGTATTGCCATGCACATGTCTAAATTTCCCACATAGGATAAAATAACTGAATAAAACTGTAAATTAAAATTAATAATTAAAATAAAGTAGAAAAAAGCAAAAACTAAAATTATATATATGCACAGGCACAAGCCAGAGTGACGCTGCACTTCATCACTAGACGTCAAAACAAAATAATTTAAATTATTATTATTATTATATTACATGGTACTCTGATAGACAAAGTATTACCATGGCACATGTCTAAATTTCCCACATAGGATAAAATAAATGAATAAAATACAAATAAAATTAATATTATGTAAACTTATTATTATTATTATTATTATTATTATTATTATTACTATTATTATTATTATCATTATCATTATTATTAAAACAAAATCATTTAAATTAAATTATTTAAATTAACTTTTATTATGTAAATGTATCATTATTATTATTATTATTATTATTATTATTATATGGTACATGGATAGCCTCCCTTAGGGCATTAGCTTATATCTATAAAAACAAAGTATTACCATGGTACGGGTCTAAATTTCCCAAACAAGAAAAAAAAATCTATTCATCAGTCCAGCTATCTTTCTTTTGCTTCTATCTTTTTTTAGTTTGCTCTCTTTTTC